CGATATCTTGATAAACCAAGTAAACAGAGTAGAAGAATGCGTATGTTTTACGTCGATTCTATCGTAATTTTCATATCCAATTGCGTCAGACGATATTACATGTCGAGGAATTAGAGGACACCGACAGGTGACGCGCCTTGCACACGCCCATCGAATCGACCAATCGCCTGATAGGTTACCGAGTGTTCTCAAATCATTCTTCGCGTACGACTTATCTACCGACTGTGCTTCAAGATGAAACACTCTAGAGAAACAGTTATCATTTTTCGGAGTAAATAAATGGAGAAACAATGTTTAACAATGACAATATCGAAAATATCGACCAGCATCGGTATATGTTGCATTAGTTTTCCAACGCGATGTCAATAATGGCAACCACTGATTGGCTCAATAAGATGTCCAGACTTTGCCTCTCCACAAAACTGAATGAAAGCGAGAATCCACCTGTTGACGAACCTACGAGCTACTGAACATTTACTGCAACATTATAGAATCGACACAACTACAGAATTTTGATTTAAAACGAACGAGTAAACGCTAATTACGAAAACATTTTCTTTCTACATTTCATACATGTATCGAGCAATACATTATGTTAAAGACATGTTAATAGAATATTCATTAGCGTAATTATGATTTTTTATCCAAAGTGGATTTCATTACTTTACTTTATCGATTATAGTGGAATTTAAGAATTTGAAATGTTGCTCTTTTGGAGGTTTGGTTATTCGAAAATTTGAAAGAATTCTAATTTTGAATACGAGCTAGACAAGATATTCTATGTACATGTATATCCCTCCAAGCGCCGTACATTACGTGGAGGGGGTAGCCCACTCTGATTACTACTTACTCGGTTACGCCAATGAGGATAATGAATATTATTCAAGATACATACTCGTGAATATTCTTCGTTGCGTATTTTTAATGTCACGCGTTTCGTACAAACGTATAATTGTACGGCATTGACATGCATTAACATGCTAAAGAATTTATTTCACGAGCGGTAAGTATCGTTTAATTATCCGATAGGTACTAAGGGCATATTAATTGAATGCTTAGAATTCCATTAACTAAGGTCAAATACGTATCTACGTGCAGTGGTTTAGAGCACGTCTTGCGTCATTCGAAGAAACTACAGATCGTTCGATCATGAAAGTATGTATTACTCCAAGTAACTCGCTCGCAAACTTTAAAGAATCGATCAATGGTCTGCGATGCGCAAGGTCAAGAATTGTTGCTTCAAAGAATTCTATCGATCATTTATCCTTCAATTTCTATTATCGTTGCAAAACAATAAACGTTAAAAATATCATTGAATTGTCGTTAAGCCGTAATCAAAATTGTTTTTCTGTTTACATTGCAATATCTATCGAAGCAGCAAAATAACTAACCTAAATTCTATTGATTTTGGCGATGCAGCAACATTATTACGGACTGTCGTTTCATCAGAAAAAGGAAACGATTCCTTTAATTCCTTTAATTCCTTTAATTCCTTTAATTCCTTTAATTCCTTTAATTCCTTTAATCGTAACGCGTACGTTGTGACGAAAGAAAAGCCTGATTGTTTTGCGATTAGAGCCACCGCGCAGTTAGTCTTTTCTATCGAATTCACCATAATCACAAGAATATTATCGATCTATAATATATTCGATGCATATACATATGTATATTTCGGGATCTATAATAAACTGTTTCATCGAGATCTATAATAAATAATGACTCGAATAGATAAAATTTCAGCGATTCTCTAAAAATAAACTATCTACCTGCCACTCTTACTTTTTCCTGTACACGTGCACGTCAGAACCGTTCTAATTTTCGATTATTGTATCATCTAGTAACGTTTACCGATCGATTTCGTTAGTCAAGTGTACCGAAGAGTAGTTAGTTGTTCCCAAAGTACAGTTCAATGTATAGACGCATGGCAATGTATTAGTGATAGAGATTTTTAAAAATCCACACATTCATCGTCGTTCATTCATTCAAGCTGTTTCGTCGTACATTTGTGATTTATCGATAACGTTCTACGCTTAAGCATAGGTATACTTATGTAAGGTATGCCAGTAATGAACTTACTTTCCGGGCAGAAACGGGGATGGTAGTTTCTCTGGTATAAATCGGTACGTCCAAATCGCTAACGCTGCTACTGATACTAGGTGCTCTGGAATCAGATCGACCACCAAGAGGAACAGAAAGATGCGTCGGCCTAAGCGGATGAGATTCGGCGATGAAACCCTCCCCGAAGTCCTCGTCATCACGATCCATCTATAGCAAAATCATACAATATACGAAATAAATCGTCAAGTATAAGTGAATAAATGATAAAAATCAACGTTACGAATGAAAATAAACTGGTTATAAAAAAGCAGAAACACTACGTACTTTTCATCTCATAGGATAACAAACATTTCAACCACCAACTTCAATTGTAATTATATTATTATTTAAATGTACTATTTAAAAGATCTATATAAGAAATATGAATAGTTCGTTTACATCGTTACAGTAAATATCGTAGAAAGTATTGTTAAAAAGGCAGAAAAAGAAGAAAACGGATGGCGAGAAATGCAGTGTCTGTGGGTACATTTCGGGTAGAAACGATTTTTCTATTAATTATTAAAGATACATGAATATGTATCACGATAACAATAACAATTATCAATTATACGTCGTAGATATTGTACGTAAAATTAGCACGAGAATGTGACAACGGTACGCTTTCCCTATCAATTATTTGGCAAACGATCAAGGCTAGTAACTCGATGACACACTCCCCACTACGATTGATAATTTCGTTCTGCGATTAATAAAGAAAATTGATAAAAAAACGAAACGATCCTCGAAAGGTAGATATCATAAAATACATAGATTATTTTTAGTTTGAACTTATTCATTGCTTGTCACATAATCGCTATACAAGCGTTAAATATTTTAAGACCGATCAACCCACAAAACTTTGCTTGAACTTTAATCAAAGATAATACACGGCATACTTGGAATAAAGGTGCAAATATTTTCTTTTCCGCGAATGCTTCGAATTAAGAAAATAAATATCTTTCGCCACAATATTAACCACATTCTTAACGATTATGTCGACATTTTTCATACATCGTTTCAAACGAATCAGCAGTAATCTTTCGTTCGGTAAACCATCGTTTAAGAATGAAATTCGGAACGGAAAGGGTAGAAAGTATGTTCTTTCTGCAAATATGTTCTGTATGGCATAAAACATTAGACCGACGAAGCCAATAATACCAACCACGAAAAATCGGGACACGGTCCATTGACGTCAATGAGGTGTCTGAAATCCGATAACAAAAGCATCACATTTTTTTTCAATTACCTCGTGCTCGAGAGCAAACCAGAAGCGTAGAAGACGGTAGCAGAACGAAGAGAAGAACGTGTAATGGATCGTTTCTAAAAAAGCGAAGCTCCACTTCTTGCGTCGTCAACTACGAAAGTAAACGAGTCGAACGTGTGTGTGTATACCGATAGAAGCACAAAAATACGAGAAGACTTCAAAAAAATGGAAGATTAGAACACCCGTACAGGCAGGGTGTGCTCTTGAGACTGAGCTAGAGGACGCATCACGTCGCGACATCACCGTCGTCGTCGCCGTCGCCGTCGGCAAGACGTAGCCGTCGGCCTCCGGCTGGATTTAATTTTAACGCGTACGTTGTTAAGACGAGCCTCCAACTTCCTATAACAGCGAACACAACTACGTTAATGCATCACCTCTTCTCCCCCTTCAGCTGCTTCTCTTCTATGTTTGTACATCAATTGATTCCTGCTAAACTTTGCAATTGATTTCACTTGACCTGGTGGTACATCCTACCGGCAACTTCTACCGATCCGACTTGCGATTCAAACAATTTTTCATCTCCATATATGTATACTTTCTTTACTTTGCAAGCGTTTTTTAAAATCATTGCTATTTTATCGTTTATTACTGCTATTACTATTAACCATTTTTATACTAAATTAAAAAGGGTGTTTCAACGAAACATTTTTACTATTTCACAACGTATTTCTTTAAATATTTCACTCTTGAACCTTTAAACATTAACAATAAATCGTTTAATGTAGAGTGACAAACAGATCAAGTACCCGATGAAAAGATTATAAGCATAGCGTGCACGATATGTGCAACGATGAAATGTAGCAAAGGAAGCGAGAGAGGAAACGAGATACCGAATCCATCTCCTTTTCAAATTTTTCGTTTGGAAATTTTCAAAATTTTCAATATATTCGCAAAACTAAACGTTTCAGGATTTTTCAATCAAACAAAATTCCAAATCTAACATAACACTAGTTTCTCGGGTTAATAATGCATATTAATTTCGTTTGTAGCAATATAACGAGAGAGTCAGCCTGCTGTACTCCATAGGTGATTGCACATGTATGCTGCTTGCGCTTCCATATACACATGGACGCAGTTATATAAAAATCTACTTGATTTTAAAATCAACAATGTGCACTAAAAGTAATCTGTTTGAAAACATCTCATATTTACTGTAATAATTCTGATGAGATATTATTAATGATAGATTATTTAAAAAATAATCATGTATCAAATATCGTAACATCGCATCGGTTAAATGCAATATTCGAAGCAAAATTCAATTTGCAAATAAATAATTAGTTCGATTTTAATGCGATCAAAATTAATTTCTTATTAAAGGTTAAAAAAATATCATTTTGACGCTTCGATTTAACATCTTTCTATCAATAATTTTCTATAAACATTATGAAATTTTCAAACGATTGTTCGACCTTTTCTCGCAAACTTCGTTTCATTTAATTTAGCGCCATCTTTTAAATTGTATACATTATACGTTCTGTTCAATTTCATTTGCAACTATTGCAATAAAAGAAATTTGATAGAAATAAATATTATGCGAATAATGGTAGGAGACAAAGGGGTTTATCATAAATGTCAATAATACGCAAAAATTTCTCGTGCCATCTGTTCGTGAACAGTCAATTTTTATTAGGGAATTATGGTTTCGTTAACGAGGATTCTAGGTTATGCAAGCAAGGTAATTGATTTGTAATAAAAGTTACGTTCCGTTCAGTTTATATATCGTAATAATAGAATTACAAAAACATAATATATTAATAATACAAATTTCAATTTATTAGCCGTTAAGAAGGTATAAACGCGAAAGATTTATTGACAGTTTACGAATTCACGTAAGCGGTGGTTCTGGAGGTTCTGGGTTACAACGTTACGGCGGTATTGGTGGAAACGGAGGAAATGTATATATTGTCGCAAAAGAAAATTTAACATTAAATATTGTGAAAAGTAATATAAAAGATATAAAGTTAAAAGCAGGACCAGGAGGTGAAAGTACCAAAAATGGAATTATTGGAATACCTGGAAAGGATTTAACTATAAAAGTTCCAACTGGCATAACTGTATATGATGACAGTCGCGTTAAACTTGGTAATACATGGAAAATATTTACTTTTAATATAAGGTATAATCGTAAAGGAACAAAAAAAATTTTATTATCGTATTATTCAGGACAAGTAAATTCAGAAGGCGACAAATTAATGGTTGCAAAAGGTGGAACAGGAGGATGCGAGGTCACAGGATATTGTGGAATTAAAGGTCAAGCCCGTGCCATAGTACTTGATCTTCAGTTAATTGCTGATGTTGGTTTAATTGGTTTTCCTAATGCAGGGAAAAGTACATTTTTAAATGCAGTTTCAAAAGCTAAACCAAAAATTGCCGATTATCCATGTAAATATTATCTTGTACAATGTATTTTTATGTAATAATTATGAAATTTTATTCGTTTTTTTTTTTTATACTTTCAGTTACAACTATCAAACCAAAAATAGGTATTATACATTACAATGACTATAGACAAATTTCGGTTGCGGATTTACCCGGTTTAATTGAAGGTGCGCACGCGAATAGAGGAATGGGTCATAAATTTTTGAAACACATAGAAAGAACAAAATTGCTGCTGTTTATTATAGACATCCAAGGATTTCAAATTTCTTTGCATCATCAGCATAGATCTTGTTTAGAAACTGTACTTCTGTTAAACAAAGAAATTGAGCTTTATAAACCTGATTTGCTGGATAAACCTGCAATGATTATAATAAATAAAATGGATACAGAGAGGGCAAATGAAATTTATGAAGACGTTAAAACAAAATTACAGAATTTATCAGAAATTTCTTTGGAATTTGATGAAAGCATACAACCCAAAAAGGTTCTGCAATTTGATGATATTCTCCCTGCAGCTTTAATTTTAAAAGATAAAAATAACATTGAGCATATCAAAGAAAGAATACGATGTGTCATAGATAAATATGAAGCAGTAAAGAATGTTGAAAACTTTAAATCAAACGAAGATCGTTTATACACAAAATTGAAGCAACAAATACAACGCCATGCACCTACGCTTCTATAGTATTTTATTATTTTAAAATATGAACATTTTTCTAAAGGATTCAAAAGAAAGGTACAATTTTATAGCTTAATAACAATTATGCAGTAATTATGTAGTGTTTCAATCACTTTGTAAAAACGTAACGCTAAATATTATATCTTAAACAGTTTAGTAAAGTTTCCTTTTTATTTTCGACCATTGGCATTTTATATTCGCTGATTCTACTTTTTGGGTCCAATCTTCTCCAAATGTAGCACTGCCTTCTGCTTTTATATTATTAATTTCATATGGATCTCTAATAATATCTGTATCTGTTTTCCACTTTTCTACTCCGTTCCATGCTATCATTACTCCATTATCGGTGCACAATTTTGGTGGAGTTCTTATAAATTTATAATCTACATCTGAGCATACAATCTTTAATGCTTTAGATAATAAGTTGTTACATGCAACACCTCCAGATATAATCTAGTTAATTACAAAGAATACTATATTACAATGTACATCTTAAAATTGTCTTAATAATATCTAAACATACCAGTTTACGCTCTCCTTTTGGAAACAATCTCTTTCTATTAATAAATTCCATTGCTCTTTGAGTTCTTTGACAAATGTGTGTTATGACAGCTAATTGCAATGCTGCACATAAATTATATACATCAGGAATCACCATATCAGCGACTAACTTATGTTTTTCTTCTTCAGATGCAATGTACATTTTACACTTATTCAATAATCCCGAAAAACTAAAGTTACAATTGCGGTATTGCGTCAATATAGGAAGAAACGTAAATTGATCAATGTCTGTTGCTTTACTTGCTGCATATTCTATAGCTGATCCTCCATTTAAAGTTCTAAATTCTGGAATATTTCTTAATCTGAGTCTTCGTGCGATCTATAAATGTAAGTCTACAGGGTAACATTAAATGTATTTGTATATAATATTTTTGAAAATTTAAATTTAAGTATATAAATTCTTAATTGTCTGAAGATCATCCGAGTATCCTGAGTATTCAAAACCTATCTTCAAAAACTACAGCACTACTCTAAATTAAGAAGTGAACATAACATAATTGATAGATATAAGAGTTTATCAATTTTATAACGGTTATTGTACACGGTGACAATTCTAATTAAAATGCTACAAAAATAATGATCATCCTCAATAGATTCATTTTGTATTAAACGTAATGTACAAAATATAATATTATGTAAAACGTGTATATTGGAGCAAATTTTTTTACACAAAAATTGAAATCTTTTTACCTTATCAAAAACTTCTCCAGGCGCAATATCTATAGTAGTCCCCAGCAAATAAAATTTATTCACATTTTCAACGATTGCAAGTAAACTGTGACCTCCAGAAATTAATAAAGCAAGATATGGAAAATCAATCTATAGCGATAAAATAAAATGTTTCAGATTTTGTTTATTATCAGTATTTTATTGTATTAATAATATTTAACAAACCTTCTCTTTCATTCTGGCAGTTAAAGCATGAGCTTCCATATGATTTATTGGTATGAAAGGTTTATTTCCAATTTTTGCTAAATATTTTCCAAATTTTATCCCAATATTTAAAGACAATTCAATACCGGGCTTTACAGTGGTTGCGATAGCGTCAATATCTTTTAATTTTAAACCTGCATTTCTTAACGCATCTTCACAAGTTTTAGTAATATTGTTTTTATGCATTATCTGGGCAATCGTTGGAACTATTCCTCCAAAACTAAATAGCAAAAATTAGTAATTACCAAAATTAAAAATATATAATTTATTAAAAATTACTTGAAATTTTATAAATAATCATATACAATATTATTAATTACTTTGAATGGGTAAGATATTGTGAATTAATACCTTCACCTAATATGGTACCTGTACTATCAACAATCCCACAACCTGTTTCATCACAACTAGATTCGATTCCCAAAATTACAACTGGCTTATTGTATTGAAAATTTTGCATTATTTTTACATCATTCTTATGCGAATATAACAAAGAATACGTGCTTATAAAATGTTTCGGTTGACATTTATAAAATAATAAAGATCTATTCCAGGTCATATTCTTTAAACTGATTTAAACCTGTTATATCAATTGGTATTAATAGATATATTTTTATTTACTTATATACATATAAATACAAGTGCATAAGCTAATATTATATCAATATCACATTAATCGTGTAAAATGGAGCAAATAATTTTCATATTAATTTTCATTTATTTCGTTTAGTCCATTTTATCTCACGATAGAACACTTCATTACGACAAACTCCGACAAAACGTGTATGCATACAAATAATTATTTACAAAATTGGATAGTGAAGTCAACAATAATTCGAAATGTTCGATATTTGAAATTGATGTATCGAAAGTAACAATCGATACAACCCACGCAAAGTTGCTGTCTCGCAGCCATCACCGAAATTGTAGCTTTCCTTTAAAGCATCGGAAGTTGGATGTACATACAATGTCGGAACAGTAAGGAATATATTCTTTTATTATGTTAAATAAATACTTCACTGTAATTTTTATGTTTATCTTAATTATTTAGATATCTTGTGCAATTGTAGTAACAATATTCTTCTTGAAACAGTAGTTTTAACTATATTAGTTATCATGGAGGTTAGAGTTACCACTAATAGTTAAGATGATGTATATTGTGTTTCTTCGAGCATTATTCATTACGCTTTGTTTCCTTTAATTAATGTGTTTACTATAAACGACTATATTTGCAGTACATAATAATTGCAGCATATTAACATGATTTGTTTCACATGAAGATATTCTTTTGTATTTATGTAAATTACTTGTTTCTATTGATCTCGTAAATTTGTTATATGTTTATGCTACATTATCTTATGCATTAATTACAGTTTAAATGCTTGCGACGAAAATAATTGGTATATTAACGTTTTCATTTATATAAAAAATTAACAAAATGTATTTAAAATAATAAATATAGACTAATGATGTAGATATGTGATAGTTAATAATATTTTAATAATAGTATTATTATTATTATATGAATTTGATCATTAATTTTAAATCATATATACTTAATAGTTAATGTTTTTCTGTTTGGTAGTAATTAATAATAATAATAATATTTGTCCAGTGACGATACTTTATTGGACGAGGATCTTGGAGATGATGAATATGATCTAGGCAATGATGAAGAAGAAGCTCTTTTAGCAGATGACTATGAACCGGAGAGGGTGAGCATATTGCTGGAGCATTATTTTGTTATTAAATAAAAATTAGAGTATTGTTATATACTATGTGATACATATGATATAACATTAAAATTTAATAACAAATTTTATGAAGGTTTACATTCTGATTACAGAATCAAGAACTTTTTAATCCATTTATGATCCATTATGTAACTGACTTGTTAAAACGTTCAATTAAACTAATATATTTACTACAATTACAAAATTGTTTAAATGTCTCTAATGATTCTTTTATATCTGTTAAATCCTAACAGATTATTTAACATAAATGGATTAATTTTAATCGAATTTATTTCCATGTATTTTATAAATAATATATTTCAGTGTGAAAGGGATTAATTTGATATTAATTTTTTCATTCAGTTTTGACTTATTTAGATTATATATCATGATTGTTACAGATAAATCTTAAATTGTAATTTTACATTATATATATTTTTTCCGTTATACAATGATATTATCATTGAAACAAAATATTATTTCTTTGTATGTACTGTCACTTTGTGTATGAAATTTACATGTTTAAGTGTTTATTAAAATGTTGTGTTTGTGATATTAGTAACAGTTCAAACAATTATAAGAGTAATTAGCAAAGAGCTATTTACTACAATGAACTAAATACTTCGTCAGATTTGTAAGTTTATAAGTAATATATTTATTGTTCTAGGTCATATCTAATATTCAAAATAAATGCGCAAAAGTTATTAAATATTTTTTCATAGGTAAACATTTTGTACTTTAAAGGTACTTAACATTAATCTTTGATTTATAAAAGCTTTCTGTGATGTTTTTGATATTACTGTAACCAGAAAAATATGAAAATCAAATGTGAAAATGAAGTGTCAATTATGTAGAATAAGAACAGTAACATAATCAGAATGAATACAGGGAAAATGAAATATAATTAAATGTAAATTATCTTTTACATTTATATTAAGTTATTAGTTAACTTATTTCATTAATTTACATACGGATAACATTAATTTCAGATTCATCGTTATAATTAGATTTTTATTTTCTAATTAACCAGTATAAATTTACCATATTTTTCAGTACAAATGTCCTTATAAATAATCAAATATTTATCGTGTTAAATAATTTAACTAACATAAATTTAGCGCTTGTTCAAAAGAAACGTATGCTTTATTATGTACATGTTTCCTTTCCCCTGTTGTTTCAGAGATATTATATTAAAGATTGTAAATAAAATTACTGTCAGCAATGGTTAAACCAATGGTATTATATAATTTTGTTAAAACGTTTATTTACACAATTTCAACAAATTGTAGTTAAAAATATTTCCGAATTCTGTGATTTACAATGTATACATTGAAATGTCATAGTTGCTTCAAATAATATTCCCAGATATAAACATCTTTATTACAAAGAATGTTTTAATGAAAATTTCGAGGTATCTGGATGATAATATAATATGTCATGAATTATTTCATTAAAACATTGTTTAAAAGTATGTTGAATTTTTTGTAGCACTAAAATAATATTGTAAGAAAGTTATACCGTTAAATTTTTAAAAAAGGATTGTATCACCTATTTTAGCATTTAAGATAATTTATCTGATTTCATTTTCATAAACGAAGCAGCAGTATGAAGTATTTCCAGTATTCATAATCACAATATTTTATCAACGAAATGCTCATAAAGTACAATTTTTAAATGGCAAAAGTTACGTATCATCTGGAGCCTTGTAGAAGCTTGAAATGCATTATATTATAAATATATCATGCTGCTGTGTTCTGATGTTAAACTGCACTGTACAAAATAATTATAACAATTCTGTATCATAAAGTACAAGACACGTTATCGCTTCATTCAAGAGACATTCATAATTGTTTTGATTAGTTGTTCTTGTACTGTTACCATCACTTCGCATACAGGTAGATACATACGCACAATCATGTTTGATACTCATGTGCATGAATTTAATTCACGTTTAGCGATGATCATTGGGATAATTGCGTTTGAATTTCATCGTACAAATTTTATTATTAGCGATTAGATAATTACAATAATAAGTTATAACAGAAAACATAAAGCGACAGAGTTACGAGAAACTGGTACGGTGATGTCAAGTCCAAACTTCTTGCGTACATCCGTTTTAGTTACGAACAAATAATTTTTTATGCATTCATAGATTCATATTTTAATTAAGCGTAGATTGTAACGACCACGGCTAAATATCATATTTTCATTACAAATATTTGGCAATTTAATTCCCTGAGCAGCAGAATAGCTATAAGGGAGAAGAGGAGACAGATGATGTACTGGACTTAGGAGTTACCGACGGACTCGACGACTTAGATGGCGAAGATGAAAATATAGAATTTAGTAGAAGCAAAACCGATAGACGCGATGATAATGATTTTTACGAGGACGAAGATCAGCTACAGGTTCAATCAAAATATTATGAGCAAGATGAAATTAACGAATACAAAAGCGAACAAGCGCGTCAACACGATGAACATTCTACGGTGGATAGCGTTAATGTTTCAAGTAACATTGGAAAGGGGGATTTGCGAGAGAAGTTGCAAAAGAATGCAAAAATCTATGCTGGAAATGGACAAGGTTTGGAAGACGATGAATGCGAAGAAGCCAAGGAAAGACGGAATAGATTTCAAAATGAAAGAACCATAGTTTCTCCAAAAATGAACAGTAACATACCAGAAACTTTAGAAAACGTGGTAACATCCGAACGTTCGTTCAGAGGCCGAGGAAGAGGTCGAAGCACAAGAGGAAGTCGGGGTGGAAGATTTAACACACAGAATTCCGGAAATTTTAATCTAAGGTATTTTTTTTTGATCGCGTGCTAAGTACTTTTTGTATGATCGAACATTTAAATCTTATAAAATTTCTTTCAGGTTTAATAATGCACGTAGCACAAACTTTGATGGTCAGCCAGCAGTATGCAGACCTCCACTGTTTGAAACGAGACCGCCATTTCTTCTTGGAGTAGCGAACAACATGCAGAATCAACAGATTATTTATCAGCAACCAAATTCTCAAGTACAATCTTTCCAACACTATTCTACGAATGGTCCACTTCCTCCAGGTCCAGCACACTTTGTAGACAACAGACCACAATTGAATCCTAATCAATTTCAAGGTCAAGTAGGTCCTAGAGTAGTCGGGCCGAGGTTAGATTATGGACCTCGTGGTGGTTTGGCAGGATCGCTGCAAGGGCCAGGACCATCTTATAATCATCCTTCTAATCAACCACCATACGTCCAAATTCAACCAGGACCGTTTCAAAACTCGAGCGTGCTTATACAAGATAATCAACCGCGACTGATGCAAAATAATCAAGGTTCCTTGTTGCAAGGAAATGCTGGAGGATCGCTTCTTGGAAATCTTAATTCAGTGGTACCTGGTACATCGGCACCATTGTTACAAGGTGGAAATCAGCCATTACCGATGCAAGGATTCCCACGACAAACTTCTACCCAAGGACCACCACCACTTATCAATCATCAAAACGTGCAAATATCAAATCAATCATCGTTTGAAAATAGAGCGCCATTTCAAGAACCTACGTTTGAAAATCGATCCGTTTACGATTCAAGACCCGGCTATTCTGATCAAGTACCTACTAGCCAATTTAATACTAATACGTTACCTGTACCTCAACAGTCCGCTTCCAATGTACCCAATGTACCTTTACCTCCAGGGCACAAGATTTTAATCAATCCTCATTTTCGAGGATCTGTTCAGTCAACAAACGATGGTAAGTGCTTCTAAAGTTTTGCCGTTTTCGATTAATACTTTATTTACCAATCATTTGACTTATATCTATTTATTTTATTCGCAATATTTTCTTGTAAACTGTGTGCAGCAAGACTCATATGGGATTCCACCCAACAACAACAACAATCGTCTTTGTCGTCTCAAATTCCTGGTAGTCAATTTCCGCAATCCGTTATCCCTTATCAGAATCAAAGTTCGTATAATCAGACTCAACAAGGATCATCGCAGTATCAACAAAATTATCAACAAAATAAGAACGATGTAAGTGTTACATAATTATGCGAAACGTGAATGTTCCTTAATCTTTCCTAGTAACAAACAAGTAATTAATTTTACGTAGGACCCATATGCGTACTTTTCGGATGTGTGGCAAGAAAACAAACCTCAAAAAAGTCAGAATGCAGTTTCGAATAAACAGTATCCTACAGACAGTAATTATTCACGGGAAAATAACTATGAATACAGCCCAAAGTATAAATCAGATCAGTGGGATCAAAAAAACAATTATCAGGATGTAAGTACAAATTAATAAATAGAATTTTTAAAGCAATTATTTAATTATTGTGTTATAATGCGTATTAGGACCACAGAGGAGTTCATCAAAATTATCGTGATCGAGATATGTTATCCAAAACCAGGAACGATCATGTTTCTAGAAGTAGAGCTCCTTCGTCAAATACATATCGTGATAATTACGACCAAAATCATGTACAAAAATCAAATAACAGATCTGCAAATACACCGATAAGATCTAGAGTGCCACAGAAAAGAACTTCGGACTCGATAGATAGACCTTTGCGAGATCTGAGTCCAAAGCGAATAAAACCTAGCAATAGAAATCTCCAGGAAGTCCGAACAGTAGAAACATTGAATACTGTGGACAGTGAAAAAAAAGTATGCACTTTCATATCAATAATTTTGTCTTTTTCTTCTATATTGTACAAATTGTATACGTGAAACATTCTAGGACGAAGAAAATGATCCGGAAATGCAAGAATATAGGAAAAAGATGGAAGAACAAAAGCGGCTTAGAGAAAAGATTTTGCGCGAAAAAGAAAATAGGCGAAAAATGGCTGCAATGGAAAAACAAAATGAAGAAGCGAAAAACGAAAGCAGTACATGTACGTATGTTTTTTCTTTCTTGTCTTTTTCTTTCTTTTTTTCCACATCAACATCTCTGATAAAATAGCAGAAAATATAGATAAACATCATTCGATAAACTTTGAAAAAAAGAAAAAAAATATCTAATACCGCTTTTTAATTCGATATAATTTGGTACAGACTACTGTGACAGCACCCGTTATAACTCTATGCTGTCTATTATTAATTACGTTAATTTTCAGTAATTAATTGTGGCGAAGTTATGCATCAAATAATGCTGAATAAATGCGACTTGTAAAGACGGGTAATTGTGTTCGTGTATATTTCTTGCTCTAAATTGATATTTTTACAAAAATATGTTTATATTTGATGCATTATCATAGTATATACTACTATAATCTTTTCTGTTTAATCTCTATGATACTTTATTTAAAAAATAATTATAATTATCATAATTACTTAACGCAGAAATAATGGTAATTTAAAATTTTTAAACAATACTTTCATTTATGCATTTACATTTACATGTACATATGTATTATATTTTCTAGCTGGTGAAAGTATGCAAGATATGAAACCTATGTCAGTACTTATGGGAGTTGCAAAAGATACTTCTGTAAATAAAGGACAAAGCAATATTGGTAGAGGACGTGGTCGTTCAATGAATACACAACCTACAGAGGTACAACACTAATATAGTCATTTTTTTCGATCGTTAATTAGATACAAAACTTGAAATAGGCGTTCCTTTAAAAACATTTATTTTTATAAAGTGGTTAATAATGTGCGTAATTTCCACTTTTTGGGGGAAAGATACAAGCAATCCATTCTCAATGCATATATCAAGGAAAAATTAGATATGTATCCAGTAAAATTTTATTTGTATATGATACATGATAATGATATTCGTTCTTTGAATATATTGTACATAAATTTTAATATAGTGTACATATTTTTTGTATATATATGTGCTTATCTTGGTAATTACCAAACTACGAGTTCTTGTTCGATTAACAAAATGCATTATTGCATTTTGGTGCCATTAGTAAAAACAATCAATTATTCTTAAATACAATATTTATTACTATTCAAACGACAATATATAAATTTTAAATAAAGTATTAATAAATAAAAGATGTGTGTATATATATTTTATGTATATACATACATAGCTATTAGACTTTTCTGTACATTTTTTACACGAGTTTCAATAAAATATATATATTTTTAAAAATTTTTTATTTCCTTTTCATTTCCTCCAAGTTTTTAAGTCTCTCTCTTTTTTTTAATTTACTTTTTGTTAATATACAATGCCAATATTTGCCTATTTAGTGTAACGTTTAAAATAAATGTTTGTTTTGTCAACTAATTACTCTCTCTATCTATTAACATTTATATTTAAAAAAAAAATTAATGTTAATCAGCATTTAAATATTTTTATACGTAATTTAATAGTCATTTTTAAAAATCTTTTTCAATAAAGTTTGTAATTCAGCAAAAATATCCTGATTATTTTTGTTATAGGCTATGGAGAAACCATCATGCATACGAATTGTTAGAACAATACAGACTGTACAGTCCAATGATTCTGCAGATTCTGCAAAGGATGGTAATACTGGACATGTGATTAATCAAGTCAGTGAACATGTAAAAGTTTTAAATTCTCAGCCTGGAGCTAGAAGAATTGTAATTCAAAAACCATTATCAAATACACAAAAAGTTGCTACCAGCATACAAAAAACAGTATCAAATTTACAAAAAGGACAACAAATAATACAAAATAAAGTAATGAATACTACGCAGTGTACAACTCAAAAAGTTGGACAGAATCAGACTGATGTATTGAAAAAATTGATAAATACAGGACAAAGAATTGGTGGTAATCCGCAAAGAATTGTTAAGCAAAAATCGTCAGGAAATCTGCAGAAAAATATAATCAATGTGCAAGAAGTAACTAACGCACAAAAAGTTTTTGTTAATACACAGAACAATCAAAGAGTTGTCCTTCAGAAAGCATCAATTCAGCAAAAGAAAATACCAGAAATAAAGACAAATATCGTGAGAGTAGAAAATTTAGCAGCAAGTACGTCTGAAGCACAAATTAGACGCATGTGTCAAAGCATCGGGACAATTGAGGTGACTATATTTGCATGAAAACAAAATTTCTACGCTTATTGCAAATTTATAAAGCTTTGCACTTGATATTTAATTTTGTTTTTAAAACATTATTTTTCTTTAAAAATCATCAGTTCCTTAGTTTTTTTTTTTTTTTTTTAAACGTTAATACTTTATTATGTTTTTTATTGTTTTTCTCACAGTTATTTCAGTTGAAATATTAAATTACTTCATAATAAATATATATTCTTTTCTTTATATTCATTATAATGTCTTGTAGTATCTACAAATTTCCTACCAAAGTACATTTGTTACAAAAAATGTTGTAATTCCATTTAAATCATTGTCTTAATCTTATTTTATGTTTATTACATATTTGAGAATGTGTAGTTATTTTCATAATAAAGTAGAAATAAGTGTTCTTGTTTGCTGACGACAGTAGCCGCTTGATAAATAGCCGAATTCAGATATCTAAGAATGAGTTTTTTTAAGAAGCGGTTATTTATCGAGTAGCCAATAACATGCGTATTCTCTTCACAGTTTGCAATGTTTACTTGCTCTTTGTAACTATTTGTATCCTATAACAATATATTTATAAATATGTAGTACAATAATTACTTGTTAGATATACTCCTTTACTTATACAGTGGTACTATAAATTTAAACGTATTCTTTACATTCTTAAATGTAAAAGTAATTGTTGAATAAGTTCGAATGGAGACCCATAACATCACATCATATCACCATCACATCACACAAACTTTTATTTAATATCAAGTTTAGTCAGTTATAACTTAACATACTTAAGATTATTAAAATAGTAAACGAAACAATATTATACGTACTTATACATAATGAAAAATGTGCGACGTGACATTGTATATACATGTTCCGTTTGTTACTCAATTAAATGGCAAAGTGCGTGCGCATGTGTGAATAATGCATGTAAGTTATTTATTTATCCAACGGCTACTGTATTTAGTGTAGTTTACTTATAAAAAAAATATATGTACAGTTCCTAAGGTTTTTATTTTACGTTTTATAATTTATTTTGTTTTAATGCCGTTCATAATTTCTATCGATAATATAAACTGTTATTATAATTTTATTATATTTTTATGTCCAATTTATCGTATTACATTTTTCATTTTCTTTTTTGAAATAAAAATTATATTTCTTAATTTAATAATTTCTTGTTTATATTATTCGTGTTGTAGAGCATACAAATGGGCGAGCGTAGCGCAACGATTGTGTTTAAGACGCAGTCCGCTGCGATGGTGTTTCACAAAAAATACCAACGTAAAATGCTAGACCTATCGCTGATAACGGTTCGTCTTGTACCGCAATCGAGCGGAACTAAGTCCACAACTGCAATTGTAAAAGTTTCTTAAAAAAAAAAATACCAAATACATCTACTCTAATGTACCACCACAAAAGGATAATCATATATATATATATATATATATATATATATATATATATATACACACATACATACATATATATGTATATATATATATATATGTATTATTATTATTATTTATAATTATGTTAAGAACATAACGATATTTCAGTTCATTGACGCAGCCTGCATGTAACTGAACATGCATTTTATATTTTGCGTATTTCTGATTTACATATATATGTATACCTAATATGCAGAGACGTCAACCAGAGCATATTTTTGGCTGCAAATAAATTGTATAGTATACCTTTAAAAACAAAGGTAGAATAATTCAATTTGTACATATGTCAAATGTAATGTATATTTCTTATAAAAATACACATGGTAGATTTAATAATATATTATGCATTTAAAGGCTACCGTCAACATTGTAGCGTAATGTTAAGCTAATGAATTTGTAATTTTAAGCACAGAAACATAAAATATATCATGATACAAAACATAAATTATACTTACAACTAAACGATGTGTAGTACTTTAAATTTCAATTATTAATGATGACCACTATTTATCTCTACAAAGAACGTGTCGACTAAGTATTATAGTAAAATTAAAATATAAATCTATAATTGTATAATACATTATAAATTACATTAAAATGTTGCACATATTAGATCTCAGTATTGTAAAATTTGTATGACTAACGTTTATGACGTTAGTCATAACAACTTATAAATTAGTAATTTAAATAGTAAATGTTAAAGTTAAAACTGTTTCAAATCAGTAGTGTATCTAATATTTAATACATTGGAATCTAAAAACGCTACAATTATATGTAAAGTTTAAAGAAAATTTTACTTCTTGTAATGAATGAAATGTGCAACACTCATAAATATATAAAATGTGGAATTTCCCTATTTTTCAATAAAATATTAAAATCATTATAAAAAATGAAAAGGAAGTCACGTTCTTTGTAAGTAAAGTAATTTATTTACAGCTAAACATTTTTGTTGATGATTACTAATAATTTAACTTACATTACTTTATTTGTAATACTAAAAGAAATTTTGTTCAACAAAAGAATTTTTATACGCTAATTTTTTGTTATAATATCTTTTAAGAATTACCTATTTTCTTTCATTTAAATTTATTATCATCTTTGTTTAAAACGAAGAAAGACAATAGTTTTTAAATATATTCTGCTTACACATCATTAACTGAATCGCAGAAAAATTTTTCAATAAAATATTTTAATCTTAATTTTATTTGAATTAATTTTTCCGTAAAATGTGTAGTTATTATTTGTACCGTATCGTGGCGCTATTGTATTAATGAAAGCTCTAAATGAAGCTATATGTATTACAGTTTACAAGGATCCTTTGTAAGAATATTTAATCAGTCAGCATTTGTCAGTTTAATGTTATAATTAAAAATCAATGTTTTTCCAATTATTGTAAATGTATCGGTATCAACATGGCTTCAACTGAACTTGATTGGGGTAAATGTGCAGACGAGCAGGAAAAATTATCTGCGAAGGTAATATTTTTGAATGCATACAACACCGGCTTAACCTTATTTTTGTTTATTAGTACACGTTTATCATCGGAAAGCATAATTTCTTCGTACATTTTTCTTATTTATACTAAAATAATACTAATGTTCATTTAATAATGAAATTAAATTCGATTAATTTAAATTATCCAAATTTACGTTTGAATGTTGCACTTCAGAATTATATGTGTCAATTTATGTCTTTGTTCTTTTATTGAAATGTTTTTATTAGTATTTTGTTTTATTTACTAAAATGATATTGTTTAGTTCATTTGGATTAAAAAAATGCTTTTTATTATTTTTACTATTGTCAACAGGTGTCTAGCCTAAATTTAGACAAACAACTTAAAGAAAGTAACGCAAGTGCTGACTCTAAGAGCGATGATGGGACAGAAGAACAGATTTCCCCTGCTGAAAACTCTTTACTTCAAAAAATTATACGCAAGGGTTTAGTAGAAACAACAAAAGATCTAGAAATTCAGAGAAAAGATCCATCCTCACCTTTATATAGTGTTAAATCATTTGAAGCACTTCATCTGTTAGTACTTTATGCTACTAATTTCGTTATATTAATATAGATGTCTTAAAATTCTTAATGTTACAATATCCGTTATAGTAAACCAGCTTTATTAAAAGGAGTATATGCTATGGGTTTCAATGCACCATCAAAAATTCAAGAAACTGCACTACCTACATTGCTTGCTGATCCGTAAGTTTTATCCGATATAAAGTAAATTTAAAATATATAATAAATATGAATAAATTTTGACAAATTGATTGTAGGCCACAAAATATGATTGCTCAATCACAATCTGGAACTGGTAAAACAGCTGCATTTGTATTAGCAATGCTCAGTAGAGTAGATACTGCTAAGAATTATCCTCAAGTACTTTGTTTATCACCAACTTATGAGTTAGCTATACAAACTGGAGAAGTAGCAGCAAAAATGTCTAGATTTTGTAACGAAATAAAAATAAAATATGCTGTTAGAGGAGAAGAAAGTAATAATATATTGAATATTGATTTTTCAATTTAAAAGATGTACTTTTTAAATAGAAATTTAATTTAATGTCTTGAATTATTTCAGTAAGTCGTGGATCAAAAATTACCGAACATATTATTATTGGAACTCCAGGGAAAGTTTTAGATTGGGCTGTTAAATTTAAGTTTTTTAGTTTAAGTAAAATATCAGTTTTTGTTTTGGATGAAGCAGATGTAATGATTGCGACTCAAGGTCATCAAGATCAGTGCATTCGTATTCACAAGTAATGATTAACAGAATATTTAAGATCTTATGTCTCGTATATCTTTCTATATCTTTTATACTAAAAATGTTTATAGGCAGCTCCCACGTACATGTCAAATGATGTTCTTCTCTGCAACATACGAACCAGAAGTAATGAAATTTGCAGAAATTATAGTTAATAATCCTTTGATAATACGATTATTGAAAGAAGAAGAGAGTTTAGATAATATTAAGCAATATTATGTGAAATGCAAAGATTTAGATGAAAAATATGCAGCTATTACTAACATTTATGGTGTAATAACAATTGGACAAGCAATTATATTTTGCCATGTAAGATATTTCAAAGTTTAAATAATTAAATATTTAATTCACTTCGAAATTGTAAATGTTATTTTGTATTTAATTACAGACAAGAAAAACGGCCAATTGGTTAGCAGAGAAAATGACAAAGGATGGTCATGCGGTAGCTGTTTTATCTGGTGAATTAACGGTAGAACAAAGAATATCAGTTTTGGATCGATTTAGAGCTGGTCTCGAAAAAGTTCTTATCACAACTAACGTATTGGCTAGAGGTAATTATTAAAGGTGCACTTTTAGTATTTAAACATTTAAAGGAACAGTTACCTGATAAATACTACTTAATTATACAAAATGTATAAAGATTGAAAATTCTTGATGATTAATTTCATGGAAAATTTAAATGTTACATCTAAATAAATATATTTTGCTTATAGGTATCGATGTTGAGCAAGTAACGATAGTTGTAAATTTTGATTTGCCGATGGATCAAAGCCGGCAAGCAGATTGTGAAACGTACTTACATAGAATCGGTCGAACGGGACGATTTGGTAAATCTGGAATTGCTATTAATTTAATAGATTCACCACACGCGATGCAATTATGCAAAGATATAGAAAAACATTTTGGAAAGAAAATACACTATCTTGATGCGGAAGATGCAGATGAAATAGAAAAAATTGGAGCCTAGGTTAATAAGCTAGAAATATAATTATGCTTTTTATCAAATGTACGTAAATATATTGTAATACTTCTTTAAAAAATAGACATTTGTATTCTTAATATCGAATCTTTGTATTTCTTTTCCAAAAGCTTATGTTGCTTACGAATATTAGGCACTTGTTTTTAACAGTAATTACATTACTTTGATTGTTGTACATTGAATTAAAATATCGCAATTGGATCAGGAATATCTCACACGATTTAAAATGTATGTAAAGGAAAGACGATATTTTTATATGTTACATAATAAAAAGAAAATAATAACATATGCAAAGGAATATTATAATACACTTATTACGGCATGATTATGGTGTATTTCGTTAAATTTTTACATAAAGAGGAAACTTGTTTTGTGACGAACTATTTCTTTCTTATTATGTGATGTAATAAAAATCATTATTTATATTGGTATAACATGACAACGATACTGTGGTAATTATCACGGTACATAGAAGTTTAAGTATAAATATTACAGGTAAAAATCATTTGTATATTATTATTGATAACTAATTACTGCTTGAGTAATTAATTCCAGTGAATAAATTGTAAACGATTACTATGCAAATTTATTGTAAATGGAAAATAAAACATTTTTAAGATAGTTCTTATAAAGATAAGTTAAGAGTATCTTAAGAACATGTTAAATGAAACTATTTTGTAAATTCAATTATAAGATCCTGACAAGACGATAAATTTCATGTCAAACAAGGTATAGTAATGTATCCTTTTGTTTGTAACTTACACATATAAACGGGAAGGCCATAAAATTTGGATAGCGTAAAGCTCTGTTGATTTATAAGATATTAGAATATGATTTTCTATTGTAATATTACGTGTTATTAGTTACATAAACTATTTCATTTAACTAAATCTTTCATAAAATTATGTAAATCATTTTTATTAAAAGAATTTAATGTCATGTATTATTGAAGCTTACATTCTTACCATTTGAAATTTGCATAAAAAGAATTTGTGCACTTTTGTAACTTTGTAAAAATAACGGATAACCTTTTTTTTTAAGGGGGATTATCTTTTAAAAGAATAACAATAATATATACTTTAAACATATATTTATTAAGACTAAAAAATGCAAAATAAATTGTAACATTTAAAAAAATGTATCAGACAATAATAATTTTTAACCTATTGCAATACATACGTTTGTACATTTGTATTCTGTTTCATCCATGCAGATGATAAATCATATAAAAATGCATCAGAGGATATTTGTATTTTCAACTATTTTATAATTCACGAACAAAATAAAAAAAAGTGTAATTAATTTAATGAATATTCTAACACGATGGAGTTTTTAAAGAAGACAATTTTACTACGTATATTAACTTAAATTTTTTACAATATTTTTTATAATATATAGATTACTCGAAATTTGAATAATTTTTGTTTCTATTACATATTATAAATTTGTTATGTTATATTACATAACGCAAACATAAGTTGTTAATATAAAATATGTGAAAGAGTAATTTTCGTCGCAGTATCTATCCGATAAAATGATAATGCTCGAAATGCAAAAAACACAAAAAAAAAAAACACAAATGATTTTAGAACAAATAACGCATAGGCAAAAACTTATTCTCTATGTCTTCATCCTCTGCTTTAAAGTACAACTGTTCCTAAGCATTCTGTTGTTCGGTTATTCAATCAGTACATTATAGTTCGTGTTTTCTCAATTCTAACCGCAATCTTTAACGCGTAGTTAATATTACGATTGAATTATAATGTTACCAAACGTTAATTACAGTACGAAAATCAGTCTTTGTACGAAATTTGTTTTAATTACATGCCCATGCCTCCCATACCACCCATACCACCCATTCCACCCATACCTCCACCACCCATTGGCATTTGAGGCTCTTCTTTGGGCAACTCTGCCACTACTGCTTCTGCCGTCGTAAGCAATGAGGCAACGCCCGCGGCGTCAGTAAGTGCCGTACGCACTACCTTTGTTGGATCAATAATACCTTTTTCAATCATATCAACATATTCATCATTCATTGCATCGTAACCGAGATTACTTTCAGTGACTTTCGCTACCACTACACTAGCGTCCACACCTGCATTCTGTGCAATTTGCAAACACGGCATACGTAATGCATTTGCCACTATCTTTACACCTGTTTCTTGATCGCTATTTGATGCTTTTAAATTTTGAAGGGCCGGAATACATCTTAAAAGCGCGGTACCACCTAGAAGATAAAGATCACAAAAATTTAACTTCCATACTGAACTTAAAATACTGAGCAATTGTTAAGAATATTTACCTCCAGGAACGATGCCTTCTTCAACCGCAGCACGAGTTGCATTAAGAGCATCATGAACACGATCTTTCTTCTCGTTAACTTCTACTTCGCTACTGCCACCCACTCTTAAAACTGCAACACCTGATGCTAATCTTGCTAAACGTTCTTGCAACTTTTCTTTTTCATAGTCAGAAGTTGTATTGGCAATCTGATCCCTAATTACATCTGCCCTATGGTCAATATCACTCTTTTTTCCCTTGCCTTTGAGAAATAGCGTATCATCTTTTGTAATTACAACTTCTCCCACTTCGCCCAAATCGCTTAATTGTACATTTTCTAATTTAACTAGATTCGCATCATCACCAAATACAATTCCTCCTGTCGATATTGCCATATCTTGAAGCGTTGCCTTTCTATTATCTCCAAAGCCGGGGGCTTTAACTGCAGCTACTTGCAAACCAATTTTTAATCTATTTACCACAAGCGTCGATAAAGCTTCCCCATCAACATCTTCTGCTACAATAACAAGTGGTTTCCTTTGCGAGTTTGCTAATTCTAATGCAGGGATAATAGATTGTACAGACGATATCTTTTTTTCGCTAAAAAGCAATAGTGCATCTTGAAATTCAACTTTTGCTCCTTTACTGGAATTTATGAAGTAGGGAGATATGTAGCCCCTGTCAAATTTCATTCCTTCTATTACTTCCAGCTCATCATACAGTGTTTTGCCATCTTTCACAGTGATCACCCCTTCTTTTCCCACTCTCTTCATAGCATCAGAAATAAGACTGCCAATGGCTTTATCACCATTGGCCGAAATAGTTGCTACCTGAGCAATTTCTTCTGGTGTTGTAACTGGTTTACTCAAAGCTTTCAGTTCATCTTTAACTTTATCAACTGCCAGCATAACACCTATAATATATTTATTATTTAGTTGTAACAAATATTTAACACAGGCATTATACTTATATAATGACCATATTTACCTCTTCTTATTTCTACAGGATTAGCACCTTTACTAATTTTTTCAAAACCATCTTTAGCAATGGCTCTTGCTAAAACTGTAGCAGTTGTTGTACCATCACCTGCCTCTTCGTTTGTATTATTTGCTACATCTTGCACCAATTTTGCTCCAATATTCTGAAATTTATCTTTTAATTCAACACCCTTAGCTACTGTAACACCATCTTTTGTAATTTTTGGACTTCCCCAACTTTGTTCTAAAATAACATTACGCCCCTTTGGACCCATTGTTACCGCAACAGCATCTGCTAATATATCTACACCTTGTAACATAAGGGCTCTAACTTCTGATCCAAAACGTACATCTTTAGCATATGAACGTGCTTGTAATTGGCGCAAAGCTGTACCACGCAAGATAGTTGGTAATCTATGCATCTGTAACAAAGTATCATTGTAAATCTCTTTTTTAAAATCCCCAAAAATACATAAATTTAATATTCCTTAATTCTACGTAAGATTTATTTTTTCTAAACTTCGATAGTACCATTTAATAAATAATGTAATAAAATTAGTTTTATAACGTTCTTTTTATTATTATATAAATGATCTGTGAACATTTACAAATTAAAACGATGAATTTTAAAAGTAAACGTGGTTATGTAAACCACCGCGTGGCAGCGAACAAAGAAATGTTAGATACAAATTTAAATACTTTCGAAAATTTCAATCTTGAAAATAAAGAAAATTATTTTTTATGTTTCTTGCAATTTCTTTTACGTAATTTTGATTTATAACACGATATTATGTGTACTTTACATTGCCGGCTCGTTCAAGAGTGAATGTAAAAAATAGAGAAAGTTATTGAATAAATATTGGAAAAGATAAAATAAATTTTAGAAATCAAAAGCAATTTTAGCCGAATGTAGAATCGTAAGCATATTATTCATTTTTTATACAATACTTTTGATTATGGTTTAGGAAGCGTATACCATCTTTAAAAATACGCGAAGTTTTAATTTATCAAAGCGATAAAGCGAAATACACAATTTTTTGCTAGGACATATTAATATACAACAATTAAAAGGATAATATAAAATAAAACAAGTTTGGGAAAAGTAAGTTACTTCAAAGACGATTTAGCCGGTTAATGTTGTCGATTAATTGATATACACTTTACACAAGAATAATGAATAAAATTTATCGAAAAAGCCTTTACCTTTATCTAATGAAAGAAGGAAAAACTATTGGTTAAAATATTATAGTCACAAAAGTAATTGAAAATCGTCGCAGCGTGACCACACGTTGTCTCGCCAGCAGAATGAAATGTGCTAGAACTTGCGCTATCACATGGGAATTTCTCCCCTCTCTCTTTCATCTATTCTAACCTAACCCTTTTTTATTTGATTAAGAAATTTATTTAAATTCTCGACAAATTTAAATGAAATTAAATCCACATGAAATCAAAGTCCTATACTTATTTTTATTTTTTTTTTATAAAACATTCGATACGTCAATCCAATTGGTACATTATTTTTCTCATTGAACATTCATACGTTTCTAGAACGTACGAGAACAAAGTATGACGCAATAGTTTAACATATATCAATCACCTTCGTTCATGTACCGGCCATTCATTCTTAATTATGGTGATCTTTAATCTTAAAACCGATTCGTTTACATACTTCCATATATTCCTTTCCTATTACATACACTTCTGTATAGGAAGTACCAAAATTGTGTAATGTTTTAAATTCTTTCGTTTTCATTTTTCATCGCCTATTTGAATAAATAATTTAATAAATGAATTTTATGTACGTTTTAGCTTAGTATTTCCTTTACATATATATGTTAAATGTGATTTGTTATGTACGCAAAGAGATAAAATAGGATTAAGTAAGAACACTTTTTCTTCTGATTTACATTGTACAATATTCAGAGATTACATATATCAAATAATACAGAGGTTAATGCTTCACGGTATTCTTAATATTCGCTGATAAGACTAGTCGATACAGTTATTATTGAAATGCAAATTTAAACAAACGCTTGTGTAACTGTAGATTAAACTTCGTCTCAAGTTACGCATCGTTGATGTCTCATTTTAAGAGAAATTTGTGAATAAAATAATCTTTAATATCTATACATGATCGGCGTAAAATTGCCGAATAATTAAAATCATATTAACTTAAATATAAGGCATTTAAAAGAGGTGCATGATCCATAACAGAAAAATATACATTTCTCATATTATTCTTTTTACACTAAACTGTATGAATTTATTGTGCTTTTTTCAAGGAGAATGTTACATGTTATAAATTTTGATTAAATAAAATTGAAATGTACATTGCTATCCACGTGGTAAAAAATACCTTAGCGTCATCTTGTGATAAATTTTGATCACACGTATAGTTATTCATAAAAGAATATTATCGCTATACGACGAACTTTTGTTCATTTTGCGCATGTTGGTTCTGATTGGTTAAAAATATGTCGTAAACGCGCATGCGTTCTTACAACGATCGCGATGTCGAACGTGCCTATACAGTGATTCTTCTCCAGTAATACCGTCACTTCTGATATCTATTCTTATATTTTCATTCACCGTGTATATGATCAATGTAAATAGAACATGAGTTATGGAGGGGATATCGCAAACGAGAAAGATTTCTAGCTTATTCGGGCTGCGTGAAATGTTAACGTTCTCTCATGATTTTAAGTTAGTTACTTACGTAACCTGTAGGAGGGGCTCTTGTCGAAATCGATGAAAACATGGCGGGCCGGAAATGGGAGGGGGAAACTAAGAATCTTCGAGAAGAGCAGAGCTGCGCTCGCCTTTACCGCGTAGGTTGCACAACGTGCAAGAATTCGTTTGCCGGTTAGATCGTTCCAAATCGTAATTTTAAAAACACGTTTTATAACAATGGTAAGAAAATACAATTCTAATTTTTAAAATTACTTGTATGTATAATGAATAATAAATCAATTTTTCAACATTTCTTGCGTATCTTTGAACATAACCATAAATAAAATTATTAACTAATTAAACTTATTGAATTCTAACATTAATTAGAACTTGTAAACGTATTTGTAGCATGCATTTATGATATACTGTTCTTTTGTTTGAGACAGTAATTTCAATAACTTTTTGTTTGATATATTTTATAGCATTACCGGCGCCGAATGTTTTTTGTTAACAAAAGGGACACAAATAATCAAAACGCAATCAATGAAACAAAAACTTTTGTAATAGTAATTTTTTGTTATTTGCTCGTAGTATAATATCGTAAAGTTAGTTATAAAACGATAAATAAGAAATTAATAATCATAATTTTGTAAAATTACTTTCCTATTATCGAATAGCTATTTACGGGTGTGTAATTTCTTTCAAATCCGTGAGTTTATTCAATTTTGAGTATTACAAAAAGCTACATAGGATTGCACCATGCATGATCTCAAAGTAATTAATGTTTAAGATATATATTTTATTCGTAATCGCATTTAGCATGTTACCACATTTAATTATAAGTTCTGTGATTTCTCTTGTATTCATATTTTAATTTTAACATTTTCAGGCTGCAGCTAATGCCATTAAAAGACTTGTTCCGCTCTTTGATAGAGTTCTTATACAGAGAGCAGAAGCTGTAACAAAAACAAAAGGTGGTATTGTCCTGCCAGAAAAAGCTCAGGCTAAAGTTTTACAAGGAACAGTTGTAGCAATAGGGCCGGGACAACGAAATGATGTAAGTAATAAGTATTTTACATTGATAGAAATGATTACTTGTGACATGATAATGGTTATAAGTATTATTTACTTTTTTTTTTTTATAGAAGGGAGAACATATTCCTTTAAGTATCAAAGTTGGCGATGTTGTTTTATTGCCCGAGTATGGTGGAACCAAGGTGGAACTAGAAGATAATAAGGAATTTCATTTATTCCGTGAATCAGATATATTGGCAAAATTGGAAGTTTAAATTTATATTAGATTAAAATTTATAATTTTCCAAATGCTACAAACTGTTCTCTAAGATATCTAGAAATAAATAATAAGACGCTAGTTAATCTTACATATAATTCAATATTCACCATTGATTCACAAAATTGTATAATTTCTGTTACAAGTCTCTTGTTTAATGTGTCATTTCATATTTACATATACATGAAACTAGAATAAAACGTTCGTTATGTTTTTATTATTTCTTAGTATATTGTTTTTTGTTCTATTCTTTTTCAGTGTTAATAATCTATAAGAAAAATAAAAAAAAAATAAAATATATTGACATCAACATAATAAATATAATATTATTGCATTTGTTATATTTACACTTATATTTGATAAAAAATATATGTATTTTAGTAAGAAATAAACTGTACAATTTTTAATCCAAAGTTTAATAATGACATGGATCAGTTATTTTAATTTTATACTTTTCTTCACGCTTGCTTTAATACCAGATATTTCGCCAGCATAACGAGTAACTTCTTTCCTTACTTCCCTTACCTGTAAAATACAAAATTGCATTAGAAAATTATTATGTTCAGCAATTATACAAATTATACAAATTACACAAATACGTACAGCTCCTCTCCTACGGATTTTAGCTTTGCGATATTTGTTTCTATGTTTCACTCTGGGATTACGTTGTTCTTTCTTGCGATGTGGTGTCAAGCCTTTATTTTTTGCTATTTCATATGTAATTGCTCTTTTTCCTTCATTTTCGGCTGCAGAATTTATCGTTTCGATATCTTTTTTCTCTTCTTCTTCCATCACATATTCATTATTTTTCAAATTCTCTTCACTTATAAGCTCTTGATTCTTTGTTATAAATTCAGATTCTGATTCAGATTCAAATGAATTCATATTTATAATTTTTTTTGTAGGTTTTTTAGGAATTATTGATTGTTCTTTGAAACAATTACTTATTTTCTGTTCAGTAATGTTTATTTTAGTACCGTTAAATATATTATATAATGGTTTGCCTTGTTTCTGTGCCTTTAATATATCTTGAACTTCATGCATCAAATTTCCTTGCCCAGATTCTAACTGATTTAATAACTGACGATACTGAGCCAAACGTTTTATAACTGGATGTGAATTTATAGGTGATCTTTTAGCTTTCAGCATTAAATAGAAGGAAATGTTGATGCAATAATTTAATAAAAGGTGGTATTTTGTTTTTATGAAAGAGATAGCAGGACAACTAGGAAGTAAATCACTATTTACTAATTTCAGAAATGGAGCTAACACATCTTTTGCTTCTCCCATACGATCTAAATAACATAAATTTTATCAATGTAGTTTACTCGATTGTAATTTATAAGCTTTAGTAGTTATACAATTTAGTAAATTAAAACCAATAAAGTTAAGAATATTATTATGTATATGTACCTTTAAAGTCGTTCACAAGGGCCATAAATTCAGGATTTTCCTTTTGCATTAATGCTTGTTTCTGTCTTTTACTAAGTTTACTAAAATCAGGTTTTATAATTTGTTTAGTATCCTCTTGAATTTCTTCGTTATTAGTTTTTTTTGATCGCATAAAATCTAATCCAAAATCAACATCATCTAATTGCTCTGCTAGTCTTTTTTGGATATTTCTAGCTTCCTGTTCTTCCAATTCCGCTACAGCTAAATCCTTCTCGGTAATGCTAGAATAATCAGCATCAACATAATCAGTAGAATAATAAGCTTTCTTCTTTTTACCCCAAGCCTTTTCATTTGGTAAGCCAAAATCTTCTTCTAATCCTTCAATATCAGATTCCATTGAATCTGTTTGCATGCCATCTTCAGTATCAACATGATCTTCTTTGTTATCATCAGTTAATTTATAAACTTCATAATCGCTATCATAACTTTCTGAAGAATGTCTAGTTCGCACATCCTGAAGTAATTTACGTTCATTTTCTGAATATTCTTCTTCAGAATCTGTTACTTCATTCATATTCATATCCTCCAAATCTTCTGGTTCCTTGTTCATTCGTGTTATTTTTGTTCTATTAAAGATATATTATAATAAGAAAACATAATCATACAATATGTAATAAACTAAATTTATATTTTCATAGTTTGAATATCATTTTCATAATCACATATAGTTTAAGAAATATATTACCTTTTTCGGTTTCCCATATCTAAGTTTTTATTTTGTATAATATCAAAATATATCCACTTTTATATACATGAGTTTACAACAGCGTGACTACAGAGTCAATGTTTACAGCAGTGGCTATAAACATAACAAGACTATGCATGCCTTTATTTCCAACGGAATATGAATCAGTGGCGAGGGAACGAGCGCCATCTGGTTTATCTTGATATAAAATTATGAAATACTTCGCATTACAGCAGCAACATTTTAAGTGTAAAAATAGATTACTTTGATATTAACTGTAAGATGATTTGAATCGACAAATTAATCATCCCACCAATGAAATGCTATTTAACGCTGTGAACCTGAAATTATTGTATCAAGGCATAAAAAGAGTACACATTTATCTGGATAAAATAATGTATCGTTTTGATTTTCCCGCGCACCTTCAACAGAGTGTTCAACGATTCACGAACGATAACCCGCATCTTTGGAAGTCCCTAGGATTGCCTCACGAATCGCAGAGGCACGCACAGTAATGTACATTTCTGTATAGAGATTACCGATAAAAATAACATTACTGTAGTGAATGTTCTTTTGTATTATAGAAGCTGTGACCAATAACCTATTTACTGGCATCAACAATTTCAAATTAATTCTACACCTTTTCTGCATATAAGAATCATAACAATAGAAAACTTAAATTTAATAAGATGGTGTTTTTAAGCGCACAATTATTAGTAAGATCTCGCGGTCCTGATGAATTCTGGCGAAAGCGACAAATATTTAAACTCGCTGCTGTAAATAAACTATTTTTTCAGTAATGTATACAATATTATATAAATAATTTATTTTTAATAGGATTTAATAAATTTATCTACAGCATTTTTACGGAAGAAGAAGAAATTGTTATAAATTAGCTATCAAAGGAGTACATAGATCATTATTATTTGCTACAAGAGCAAGGGAACTTAAAAAGCAAGATATGAAAGAGGTAATTTGTAAATGAAAATAAGATTTTTTTCATATTTTATATAATCATTCGTTTATTACAGCTTTGGGAAACTAGAATAGATGCTGCTGCACAGGAACATGGTATTACTTTTAAAACGTTAATGGAAGGATTAACTAGATGTAACATTTTACTTAATCGTAAAAGTCTAGCAACTTTAGCTGTTTGGGAACCAAGAACATTTAAATCTTTATCCGATATCGCTTGTACAAAAGCAAAACTAGGACAAGTTAAAAATGTTGCCAATAATTCTTTGCCTACAACTGTTATAAGTAAAGGATTAATCGATGAATTGGATTAAATATCGAATAAATAGAATAGACTGTGAAACTTACATCTTGTTGTAATATTTATTATATCGTTAATAGTTGGATATTTATAACAAATTTATATTTTAAAGAACAGAATGAAATAAATTAGGACATATTTTTGTTGAATAATTTTCCATCGCAATAACATGATTCAGATCTTTCTCTATGTAAAGAACAAGTAAAGGATATTAAATTAAATCTCTATAATAATTCTTAAAATATATATTTCAGAATATATATTAACTTAAACATATAATGCTTTTATATAATTGTATGGTCTTACTGCTTAGCATTAACAATTTGTACAAAATCAGGTTTCAAAGATGCTCCTCCAACTAAAAATCCATCAATATCTTTTTCTTTCGCTAAATCTTTAGCATTTCCTGCCGTTACTGAACCTCCATAAATAATTCTAACATTCTCCGCAACAGTTGCATTTATGTTTTTATTAAACCATTCTCTCAGTTTTTCATGAACTTCTTGAGCTTGTTCGGGTGTAGCTGTTTTGCCTGTTCCAATAGCCCATACTGGTTCATAAGCAAGAACTACATTATCCCATGATTTAATTTTATCTGCAATGGCTTTTGTCTGTCTGAATACCACTTCTTCTGTTTGGCAAGCTTCACGTTCTTCTAATTTTTCTCCAATACATGCAATTACCTTTATTGTAACCACATTATTACTAATTTATTTAACATACTTAGGTAAAAAATTTATGAGAGTAGAGGAAAAACTGAATTTGAACATCTATATGTTCTACCTAATATAAAAATTCCATTACCTTAAGTCCGCTTTCCAAAGCATGAGCTACTTTTTCTGCAATTAATTCATCTGTTTCTCCAAAAACATTTCTACGTTCAGAATGTCCAAGAATTACCCATGGAATTCCATTATCCATAAGCATAGCAGGACTTATTTCTCCAGTAAATGCCCCTTTCGCAACTTTATATGCATTTTGTCCAGCAATACCAACATTATTAGGTAATATGTTTTTTACATATGTCAAATATATAGATGGAACTCCAACAACAACCTCTGATGCAATTAAATTGATATGTATTAGAATTAATGAATAATCGATTTATTACAAAGCTGATAGATTTACACAAGATATTAAGATATTTTGTGAATAAGAACTATTATAAAAGGTATATATTATAATATATACGATACTTATTTTAGATAAAACTTTAGAAAATATAATTAAATTATAATGTACACGTAAAAAAACATACCAACATTTGGATCGAGAGGACCTGCTTTTAAAAATTCAACAATACCATCTATTTCACATTTGACTCCATTCATTTTCCAATTACCACCGACAAAAAATTTACGACCCATTTTATCCTTAATCGCTGCACACAGATTAGAAGCAAAATTGCAGTTTATTTGCAAATCTGAAACAAATTCAAAAAATGCTGTTTCGACCTTCAACAAAGCAGAAGGTGAGTGATCACGTCTATCCCAATCTCATCTCATAAACCCCCACCTATTCTTAGTCACTTTCTCCCCTCTCTTTATCCTGAATTTTGGTAAATTTATTCGAATGATTGTATTGTGTATAGCTTATATTCTTTATCTCTTAGTTAAATTTCAGTACGAATTTATGTGTGTAGCATATAGTATTTCGGTATAACTCAAATTTCTTATAAATTTGAAGATATTAAAACTAGGATATAGTTCAAATTTATTAAAATTGGGTGAAACATACGATTAACATATTTTTAAATTTTTATATTTAAAAAAAAATAGTTATTAATATAATACATATATTTTTTTTACTTATAAAATTTATAAAAATTGATTTTGTCAAACGTAATGACAGCAAGTCAGTATAAATATTCAACTGATACGTTTATTTTCTGCGCATGGCAGTACTAATGCCATTATACACGCTATTTTACAAGAGAATATAGTGATTAGATGATTGGATATCATTCTGCGCATGTTCATATTTTCGGTTTAACCCATTCTATAATCTGTAGTAATATGTATACGCATTTATTAAAGTTTAATGAATATATTAAACAAATTAAGTAAAATGCTTTTTCCTCTCTTTTATTTTAGTTCGTTATTTTTTCCATTGTGCATATGATCATGAAACAAAAAGTAGACTAGAGGAGTATCACATTTGCAAAAAGGAATCTTTCTGGGATAATGAGGTCCGTAAATTGTCATCTAATTACTATATTCTATATATATATATATATACATATTTACCGAGAGAACGAAAGTGTCGGATGACCAGTTTTTGTTTATTATGTGGATGCTAGCTCTCATTATTTTTAATTTTTAGTACATGTTTAGTGTAATACTCGATGGTCAAAATGTTAAAAGGGCTCGTAAATTATGATTCATGAAACGTGATACAAGTTGGTAAGTTCATTGATTATCATGTACATTATTGATACAGTACAATAAATGGTGTGAGAACTTCGTAGCCTTAGTTTAGCTGCGCGAAATGCTTTTTGGTCTCGTACTGAATTGAAGATATATGTATTTAACTAGGAGTACATGTGCATACTGTATACATATGTTTTTTTACAAGTTTGGGAATTTTAATAGCATTACAATAAATTGATACAATAACATGTAATAAAAATGTAATAAATTTCTTATTCAGAGATTATAAAGTAATTGATCAGAAATTATACGCACTTCAAGTATTACTAATATTTTCAAAATTTTTGCTATGCATAGATACACACACATACATACACACATGGTCATTGAAAGAAGTAAATATGTGGCTTTACTTACGGTGTTTAAGAAAGTCTTTACACAAGATATTTCTGTAACAAAACTTAATACAGTTATTATAAGAAATGTGATGGTATTTCATGTCAATGAAGCTTTTTAAATTACATTTTCATTTAATAATACAATATTGAAATATGAAAATTATGTAATATTGTCATAATTAAATTATGTGAAAGGAAGTGTATCACGTTAACTACATAAACAAACGAAGTTGGATAGTAAAACAATAAAATAACATTATCTAAAAAACATATTAATTTGTTAATGTTTTCACGACGATCAATGTTTTGTAAGGTTCTTCTATATGTATTATTTTCAAGTATTTATAATTATTAATACTTGTTCTTCATGATAAATATAATATTTTAATTCAGTGACATAAATTATGTTCGAAATATCGACATTTAACGTGGATAAATTTATACATACACTTATTCAAAATTTGGGTTTAAAGATAAAATCTCCTATTTATAATAACTTCAAAAACATTGCTTTTGTAACCTATATTGATAGAACATGCAAAATTAAGCAACAGTTACCTTGTTTGATGGAAAAGAGTAACGAAATTAATATTCACCGAAATTGGGATTTTTCCAACGAAAAAGATATACAATGTTTTATAGAAAAACATACCAGTTTTTTTGATAAACTTATTTCATTGAGTAATACAGGAATTTTAACATTTCCTTTAAAAAATATTAATACAAAAATTCTCCAGAAAGTTAAAAAAAGGAAAAATGATAATGAAAATACAAAGAAATTCGAAATTAAAATAAAGAAGAAAAGAAGTTTGTTATCTTTAATATCAGACAAGGATAAATGTCATAAAATTTATAAGTATAAAAAGAATAAATTTGGTAAATCTGCAATATATGAAGATTCTAAGACGCTTAATCATGACGTAATTACTCTCGTCAGTCACAAAGATGTTAATATTTTTGAAACAAAGTGTGATAGTCAACAAGATTTTGTAAACCATAATTTATCAGACAATATGATAGATATCACAGAGAAACAAATAAAAAAAGCCCAAAAATTCTTATGGCTACATACTAAAAATAAGGATTATATAAAAAGAAATGTACAAGTTACTCTGTACATATCCAAGGTTACATAATATATTTGTTTTTATTTAAGTTTTTAAAAATATTTGTTGTGCTTAATTCTATTTAATATCTGATGCGTAGAAAACAATTTGTACTAATATGAAAAATCGGATGAAGTATAATAAAATACTTTGTCATCATGCAATCCTATGCCTGATTGAACCTAGTAAGAAAGCAGTTGTTTTGTTCGAAGATGATCTGTCACTTGTCGTTCGAAGATATCTATTACACGGATATAAGTATAATTTTGAATTTCAAAGGTATTTTATTCAGGAATAAAGAAAGAGCATTATATGTAAATACGAGTTAATGATTTTAAAAGATTAAACGTGTTTTTCAGAGATTCTGACAACTGCTATATTGCATTGCTTATTTTAAGTCGATGGGCTAAAATTTTAGTTAATCATATGAACATAACAATGATGCAAACAATTTGTGGCATATTAGGATGCGATATAGAAAAGATATTAGTTTTGTATAATCCGGAATAAAAATGAACTACTATTTGAGTACGATGTAACATAATTTTGTAATAAGAAAATAGTTAGCACGTAGAATAAGCATAAATTTTTATATAATGATGCAATATACAATATGAGCAAATGGAATAATTGATTTTAATAATTTTAAAAGATAGCATTCTTAATTTGACTCTCCTGTTTGAATAAAATTTCATATTTTAGGTAAGCTAATAAAATGGTGAGCGAAGAAACTGTGGAATTTAGTAAGAAACCTCAACCAATATTTAAGAATCCAATTTTTCAACAGAAATTTCGATCCACTAGTACTACCGGTAAGAAACGTACTTGGCGTTCCTTGAAACAAGTTTTGGCCCAAGAACGTGCTCTACCATGGTCGGCGGAAACAGTACATTGTACGAATTATTACTCTTAAATTATTTTGAATTACTTAACCAGATTTTTAAGAGAACTACAATGATTTTACAAAAAATTCATTTATATAACTACAACAAATATTACATATTACAGAAATTCGCATTAATTTTGACTGTAATATCCATGTTTATTACATTTTTTTTCTTTGCTTCGGACATTAAATTGTTATAAATGTCAACCGTCCAGAACGTCTAACCAATAACTCAATCAGTAAGATGTAAAAGATAAAAATTAATTTTTAATTGAAACATTGTCATTGATTGTATAAAATTTCAGACAGTTCTATCAATGCACCGCCAAGCTTCAGGCCAGCAAAAAAATATTCTGATATTTCTGGTTTACCCGTGAGTGATAATTTCCTTTACAATTACATGACCGGTTACATTATTAAAATGTAAATAATTGTATAAATTACATTTATTTTACAGGCACGATATACAGATCCACAGACTAAATTATATTATGCAACTGCAGAAGAATTTGCAACAGTTCGAAGTTTGCCAATGGATATAACTGCTGGATATCTAGCGTTGCGCGGCGCTTCCAGTATTGTTGGATAAATGATGCAATAATTTTCTATCGTTTTCTTATATTTTTACATTTAAACATAGCACAGATACTTTCTTTTCTTGTAATTATCGATATCATTATTTTAAAATAAGGAAATTATATATAATTCTGAAAACCATTGACGATTGCATAGTGACTATAAAGAAAAATTATACGAAGTACATGGAGACAAAGTAAAATTATTTGCATTTGTATTATCGATATAAATTTGTTTATACGTACATTGCTTGTTTTGAGTCTTACTTTTTTTTTTTATATATATAATAGGTTTTCCTGAAATAAACAATTCCACAAATAATTTAATTTCATTTTCATTATTTTATCTCCTTCATATTATACACAAGTAATCATTATTAAAAAAAAGCTTGTCCATTATAACTTAGTACATGAACTACCGAGTAAAGAAGGATCGGAGAATCTTTAAAAAGTATATTACTGTTTTTTCTCATGATCACTGCATTCTTTTATGTCGACAGTATCGCGTGCACCTTATTTTCCTGTTTGCTACTGCAATACGGGCCATTAGCAAATTTGCAAAACTTATTTGCAATTCAAAATACAAATAGCATGGCCTATTGAAATATTGCCTGGTGGTGCACTATTCTTAGGTCGCCATTTGTTTTTTACTTTTAACTTTTTAATGAGGATTATTTTGAAGTAGCTTCGAAATTTGTTCATTCAACCAAATCAGGTAAATCATCATCGTCACTGTCTGTTCCGTCTCCTTCATCTCCCAAATCATCAAAGTTTGGTTTACTGTCTCCTGAACCTCCTAGACCACCCATTTGTCGCATCATCTGCAAATATCGATATAAAATGAATCGAAGCGAAAATGTAAACCTAATATATTAATTTAGATAATCAAACTCTATTTTATCGAAGAACCATATTTTCTTACTTCTTCTAAATCATTGCCACTTCCTTCCATACCATCTTCATCGTCGCTATCATCTTCATCTTTCCACTTATTGAAATCACTTTTTAACCAATGAGCTTTTGTCTTTTCTTTCGTTAATCGTGGCCAATATGGACCTTCTTCGTTTTTAGTGAGAATTAATTCGATAGTCCTTCCTCTTAGCTTTTGAACTGTTCTATCTGGATTAATTTCTCCGTATAGGTTAATCGTAACTTCATGCATTTTTTGTTCCGTTCCACCTATTCCCTTAAAATATATCATCTGTGGTTTGATGTGAATATCAGGATCTTTACAATCTTCTAGACAGATAGTAACAAATAAGATATCTCTCCTCTGGGCCCACATAACAGGCGGGGGAGGCAACCTAAAAATGTTTAAACAATTCAGAATTTTTGATAACGTAAAAGGAAATTGAATTATACGGAGCATGCACGAAGGAAATTATTTTGAAATTAAATAAGGTTAGTTTACAACGGTAACGAAAAATTAATTGCTATTTTATTATATATGTCATTGGTTCATTTCTAAATGCGTTGAGCGTATTTTTGTACGATATATTTATATAGAAAACATTGTACATTGATGCAACAGCGTAGAAAAGATGCACATGTATCTTATACAAGGATCAAGGAAATATTACAATTTCATTTTGCAAAGAATTATGTTTTTGATATTAATTAACTTGTTATCCGCATACAAAATGCAAAACAATAGATACTTTAACGGTTAACGAAATTATAGCAATATTTACATAATTCTAAAGCGTAGGTAAAGGTTAGAAATAAAGCTTTATGGTTTCCGATAAAAACCGCTAGTCATTAGTGATAAAATGACACATAAGATTACAGCCGATGAAACGATACACGAATAACCTAACATTATTAAATACATTTGAACGGAACATATGAAATCTTATATTTTTTAGGTGTTAAATATATCGATAAATGGTTGCTCGGAAATACGAGCTATTTTAAAAGTTAATACATCCATAATAAATTATCTGATATTTCGTAGAAGAAAATAATACGAACGAAAGTTAATTATAAGCACGCGATTATCGCAAAAATATATAAAGAACGAACGAGCAATAAGTATCGTATCATAAATTGGAAAAAATCAGGTTCGAAATGTAATTTCTTGTGATTCTTTTCCAGAAATTTCGAGAATCAATAAAGCCGTCTTACAACATGGCGGTGTTTCGAAAGCCACGGGGCGGCATTCAAGCTCGTTCTACGATTATTTGTTATTTTTCTAATAATATTACTAAAGGGATAAAATCTGAGATTGAAGGAACATATTAAAAAAATATTTAACGTAAATTTTTCTGTACTTACTGTCCTTCTTGAGTCATATTTCAAGAGCTTCGTTCCGCGAGAAGCAAACAAACACAGAGGACTTACGTATCGCGCCGTAGACCTCTGATTCGAGAGTGTTTCGAGATTCAACTATCGATCAAACAAGATGGCGATTGGTTGCTTTCGTCGATGTCGGATGTTCTTGTTTCCGGTATCGAATTTTTAAAACTTGTATTCGCGCGCATTTTCAATATAATCATTTTCTAAATATTCGAGAGAGAAAAGTCGAAGGCAATCATTGCTTATACATTTGGGTACGTACATATATCGAAATACAAACATTAACGTTTTTACCGTTTCAGATATAAACTTTTATAAATAATATCGTAAGCATAAAATAAGATGTTAGAAAAAGAATGACAGATATTTACTTTGACTGAAATCGAAATTGAAATAAAATTCGTGTAAATGCATACTGCATTTTATACATGCAGGTTCGAAGAGTAAAAAATATTTGTAGGTAAATGGAAGAAAATTTACTTTACTTAGTAAATTTACTTTTAACATTAAACGGCATCGCCTTCACAAGAAAGAAAGGTAAGACGATTTCCAAAGTATTTTTGCCAAATATAATATATAAATTGAAAGTGTGGAAAAGAGGGATGTTGCATGTCTGCGCGGAGGGGCCTGAGGTGGGGGGCTGTAGAGGGTGAGAGAGGGGATGAGAGAAGGAAAAAGAAAAGAGAGCGAAACGAGAGAGCCTTTGCGTTAGATTGTAGGTCAGCACAGTGTAGGGGGAGGGGAAGATACTACCTTTCTTGCCGTAACCGTGGCCATAAACTAACAGGACATACATACGGTGTTTCAGTCTTTCTTTCGCAGCTTCGACTCGTCCCGTCTGTCAGTCTGCCACTCTCGGTTATTTTCGCGCAAACGTGCCATCGATAGGCGATCGGTACTTGCATCTCGATACATTCTCGGAATTTTCATCAGTTTCGACGTTCGATTATCTTCTTCGGGAAATTTTCGTTTTGTTCTTTCAATCGGTAAGATATTGGCGCGCGCGCGTGCGCGCGTGTCCGTCGGTGCTCAATGGATAATATTTCGAGAAGTTTTAATCGAAATAACAGAGATCGACGATGAAACAGTGACTCGATGCGGTCTATGCAACTCGTTATTCCGAGATTGACATCATGTCGAGTAGTTCCATTTTTTACAAGGATAAATACGCGGTAAGTAAGTTTTACGACTTTCTAGATACTCAAACTTGTTAAAAGGTGAAAAAAAAATAATGTTCCTTGCGTTCTTTGTGTAATTTTGCTCGTTTACTTTTTTGCCTTTCTTTCGTTCCCCTCTTTCTCTCTCCCCCCTCCCCCCTCCCGACCCCTCTTCTTTCCCTCTTTTTCTCCGTCACAACTTTCCTTCTTTCTTCTTTTCATCTCATTCTTGAAATTTTCAACTACATATTTCGAAAATATCCCCGTCACTATTTCAAATGTCCCGCGAGCTTAGCAGCTCGACGAACAGAGCAACAGGTTAGCGTATTAAATACATAACCTCGTAACGTAGAATTACTTTTTCAACGGGATTTCATATCGAACACGTTCGACGCAAGGTCATATATCGATAAGAAACGTTGAAGTTTTACATCGATCGCAAGTGCGTAATTGATTCTGTAAAAAAAATCTGTCCGTAGATACGCGAACCTTTACACGTTGCATGCGCTTTCTCGTTCGCTTTTATCGTCGTGCACCGTTGACTTTACACCTACGAATTACGGTTTAAAATTGAACTCGTCTCGTATCGAAACGGTACACTTTACACCGAAATCGATGTACGAACGATTCAGTTTCGATAACTCGTCGTATCGTCTACATTCTCGATACTCGTATATTCTTTTGTCAGAATACTGTCAGAATATTGTCAGAATTTAGTGAAAACGAAGAGAGAAAATGGATATTAAAATAAACGCATGATTGTCGCGACGATGATGCCTTATTGCCTCACCGCAGAATAATTAAACGCGAATGACGCTATAGTTATCGAGGAACAATGACTGTGTGCCAATGAGTATTAGCAAGGAGGCGGTCTTTTTTCTTTTCGAAACATAATCGAATCTCTGTAATAGTAATTTTTTCTATATTCGTAAAGATACGTAGGTATCTTTAGTCGCTATAACGAAAACGATTGATCCAAGTTATTTGTAGATCGCGAAAGACGATTTATGCAGAATTCTAAGAATTTTTATGCAGAAAAATGTCATTTCCAACAGTTTAGTCCGTATCATTGTTTATCCTTGTTTTCTGTACTTTTCAATGGAAATATAACATCGTTTGGATAATAGAATGTTCACATAACGAGGATTCTACGGTCACGGTTTGTACGTATACAAATGTATAAAAGGAAATTCGTTACAAGGTCCTATTCGTCTCTTTTTCTCGGTGATTCTTTTCGAAATTAATCCTCCCACCGTTTGTCCGTGAAACGAACGTACCAGTACTTGGTCGTAATCATTTTGTTTTCCATTTTGAATCGTGAAAAATGTATATTACCGTTTACGTTATAACGTAACTTCTCGTTTCGTTCGTTTGTTGCTTTTGAAAAAAAGGCAAAACAGGAAATTCTTGAAATTTCGTGTATTTAACGAAACAAATATCCTAAATGTAACGATCGAATAAAATCTTTCATTAGCATAGGATAAAATAAAATTAACGGGACGTAACAAAGACGATCGCATTCGAACGGCATTGAAGTTTACTTACCGAGCCCGCGTTAAAACTTTTGTTGTTCGATTTACCTTATCCTTGCTTTAGTAAATCTTATCGCGACTATCGATACGGCGAAGATAAAGCGAGTAATTTCTGTGAAAAATTTCGAAAAAGTAAACTTGAGGGCGTACGAGGTTTT